CGACACACACCCCTATCAGGAATCGAACCCGCAACCTGAGTATGTGCCCTGACCAGGAACTGAACCTGCCGCCTTTTGATGCTTGGGAGGACATTCCAACTGAGACATACCGGCAGAGCCCAAACTTTTAAGGATTCTAATCCTTTCCCCATCTTACAGGCCAATTCGAAAACCTAACAGACCTTCCACTCCCTTCCAGGAGGAATGGGGCGGGGGACTAATGGTGAGCACCGGCATGTCCTTCCCGGTGCGGATGCCCTGACGGGCTCAGGTGGGACGTGACTGCCGGCGAGATGCCAAGATCAGGTTCCCTTCCGCCAGGCCACACTGCCTTCTCCCAGCCTGTCTGTGGCTCTAGCATCTGGTTGGTTAGCTTTTGTCCCCACGAGGCTGTCCTGGCCCTCGACCACTTTCCCTGACCTCTGAGGGTGACTTTCTCTGAGTGTCTGATGAGGGGACATGTGTACAGAGGACAGACGCAGCTGCTGAGGCTCTTTCTTACTTGCTTAGCGTGTCTCGTGGGAATTAAAAGTCTTCCTGGTGATGCCCACCCTGGCAATTGTTTCTAGACGTTAACCTCTGTGCCTCAGACCCTTTCTTTACTTGGTAGCAGAGTGGAGAGGGTAGACTTGGAGTCATTTGCCATGATTTCCTGGTTCTTGCTCACCTTGTCTGCTCAACTGTCCGGAACTTTCTTGTAATTCATCCCCAAGTTTGGCTTTTTTTCCCTGGAGAAGCAGTGTCATTTTTATGCTTGGAGAGCCCACTGTGTTGTCCAGCTTCCAGTTTTGTTTTTTTAACGACAGAGAAATACAAAGAATAACATAACAAATACCCATGTGAACCACGCCAGCATGGCCATGGGTGAACCTGATTGGGGGATGGGGGGCGGTGAAGGGTTAGAAAAGGCAGGCGAGATTAAAGCTGGGCCTAAGTGGGACGCTGCCTTCTCTGATAGAGAGATAGCACCATGCCCTGCAGGCCGAGTCTTTATTTTATAGCCAAATTCCACAAGGCAAAGTAAGGGTGTGGTCAAGCTGTTTACAATGTTCTCAAGGATTGCGAATCCACTCAATTACATGCACCTGATCAAGCTTTGTTTACTTGCACCTCCCGCAGCCCGTATCACTCAGCCACTGGGACCACAGGTTGGGACCATAAGGTCAAGCTTACAGCCATAGCCTTTGGCTATAATTGTGCTGGGACTTGCACGTGGCTTTGCCACGAGAGGATCATGCCCTCTCATTAGTCTGAGAACCTGTCCAAACGCTGTAGCCGCACTCCACACCCATGTACTTTCCACCCGCATTTAATAAATGTTAACATTTTGTTATTGTGTCAAGTTTTTAATCCAAGTAAAAATATTAGCAATGAATTGGAAGCCCATCTTGTTCATTCCCCAGGCCCCTCCCTTCCTTCCCAAGGCAGACACTGATGGATTCAATGGGCAGCCTTCCAGCTTCTGTTTTTACACCTTTACTACAAAATATAGTATTGTTTTGCCCTAGCCAGTTTGGCTCAGTGGATAGAGCGTCAGCCTGCAGACTGAAGGGTCCTGGGTTGATTCCGGCCAAGGGCACATTCCTGGGTCTCGGGCTCGATCGCCAATGGGGGGCGTGCAGGAGGCAGCCGATCCATGATTCTCTCTCATCGATGTTTCTATCTCTCTCTCCCTCTCCCTTCCTCTCTGAAATCAATAAAATATTTATAGTATTGTTTTGAGTCTTTAGATCTTTGTAAATGATGTATCGCATGAATGTAACTTGCTCTTTTCACTCAGTATTGGTTTTGAGGTCTAATCATATTGACACGAGCCCAGCACTGTTCCAAATGGAATAAAACTCCTTTCCTCTCGGAGTTTGTCAGGGGGTGGCAGGGACGCATATGTGGTATGAATGGACCACAATTTCTTCAGCCATTCCCGTTGGTGAGCATCTGTTTACTATTACAAGCCATGCTGCAAAGAACATCTCTGCCTGTCTCCTTACACACGTGTTACCGTACACATAGCGTGCAAGCTTTCTTAAAGGGCCAGATAGTACATTTTTAGGCTAGTGAGCCATATGGTCTGTGACAATTACTCACTTCCGCCCTTCTTGAAAGAGGCTATAAACATTATGCAAATACATTGTTTATGAGCACTGGGGTTTGAATTTCATACAATTTTACACGTTATGAAATATTATTTTGATTTTTTTACTCAATCATTTAAAAATGGAAAACCCATTCTTAACTCAGGACGTACGTATCTTGGCCCACTGGCCAAGTCTGCAATAAACGACTCCAGAGCCTGTATACGGATGCTCCACACCCAGTGCCAGAGGAAAGCAGGACGGATGAGGAGGGGAAGTTGCTGGCCCGCTCTGGGCACTGGGAAAGCCTTTGGGAAGTTGGAAGGATGAATAACTCCTGGAGCCAGACCATTTGCCAGAAGATCATTTTGGTCTAGCTCAGCCTGCATGTGCCGTGGCCAGTGACAAGCTCTCGGCTCTCTCCCCTCTGCCTGGTCTTTATTCTCCCCTGAGTTGGGCAGAAGTCTAGATTGAGCCATTATCCACGAAGTACAGCCATCTGAACAGGAAGGTGACGTGATGGGAGCCACAGGAGCTTGGGAAGCAAATCTGCCTGGCCCTTCCTTGACGGTGATCTTGGGCAAGGCTCTTCGCTTCTCCGAGGCCATCCCTTATCTACAAGAATAATCCACATCCATTTTGAAATGACAAAAGTGTAGCCCAGCCGGCGTGGCTCAGTGGTTGAGCGTCGACCTATGAACCAGGAGGTCACAGTTCAATTCCTAGTTAGAGCAATGCCTGGGTTGTGGGCTCAACCCCCAGTAGAAGGCGTGCAGGAGGCAGCTGATCAGTGATTCTCTCTCATCATTGATGTTTCTATCTCTCTCTCCCTCTCCCGCTCTCTGAAATCAATAAAAAAAATTTTTTTCTTAAAAAAAAAAAGTGACAAAAGTGTAAGAGAAGGGGCCTGACATGATTGCCAGCCAGCATTCAGATTCTCTCCCTGTGGGAGGGGTGACGCTTCCTGGGACGGCAGCTCATCACTTCCTCTGGAAGCAGCCCACTCCATCCTCCAACATCTCACACCACTAGACAGCACTTTCCTTCTGTTGAGCTGAAAACTGGCTGTGGCTCCACTTCTGGTCCCCTTCTGGCCCCGAGACCACATAACAGCCCCTCCTCTTCCCCAGATGAAACAGCCTGTTTTCTTTAATCATGACCTTGAGTCCTTCCACCATTCTGGCCACCCTTCTTAGAATGCACATATGTTTCCGATACACTTGGACTGCAGGTGAAGATAAAAGTCTGGGTCTAGCACTGGCCTGGGCATGAGTGAGGAAGGCCAGACGCTGGTTAGACGTGATGGTTGAGAGTTTAAGACTTTGGCACAGGGCAGATCTGGCTTCTGCTCCTTGGCAAGCTACTTAAGCTCTCTGAGGTCAGATTTGTCTTCTGTCAAAGGGGAAAGGGTCCTAGTTCCCTCCGAACAGGCTTATTGAGAGGAATTTGACGATGTATAGCCTGCTCTGCTCACTCGGCACACGGGCCGAGGCGGGCTGAACGCTCCGGAGGTTTTAGGGGTCATGTTTGTTCCTGTGAATTCCTCGCCCTCCACAGTTGTTAAACCCCGCCCCCGGCCCCATGGGGGTGGCTCCAATCAGTGCATGGTGGCAAAATGCCTACCTGAAAGTGGGGGTGGGGAGCCAAAGCCTCCTCCACGCAGGACAGGGGCCCTGAGGCAGGATGTGAACAGATCAGCAGGTGAAGCTCCTGCCAGCTATGACCACCAGGGGGCACCCCTGTTCCAGAAATGACCTCACCCAAGGAGACACACCCACTGCTCCGGTGAAGATTGATGCCTCTGTCCCCAGCACAGTTCAGACTAAATTGGGACAGAGACGGACAGCCTTGGTGTGCTTGGCCGGACTGCCCTGGGTAGGCCCCGCGACCTGGCCCGAGGCAGAGGCCCGGGTTGTAACTGGCTCTGCTACCCATGACCCGGGACCAGGCGCTTCCCTCTCTGGCCGGTTCACAGGGCAGATCTGGGTGTCGCTGCTTGGCAAGCCACTTAAGCTCTCTGAGGTCAGATTTGTCTCCAAGGTTCCTTCCAGAGCCAACATGGCATGGTTTGCGGATTCAAAGCCAGGGAGTCTCCTCTTTCTCACCCCCAGCCCTCTCCCCCTCGGGGCAGCACACGCACCCTGGCTGGCAGTGCACCCGGCCTGGGAAGACACGTGTCCCAGACCCCCAACTCCAAAGCCCTGGGACACTGTTCAGGGGGGTGGAGGGGGGGAGGAAGGGCAGGGTTAGGTGAACCAAGAGCCTCCAAGGGTCTTGCTTCATTCAGGACAGGCATCCGGTTTCCTCTGGTCTCTGCCAGGATTCCAGGGGCTTAAAGGACTGAGTCATGGGGGGATTGGGGAGTTCCCAGCGAACCAGTGCAGGACAGGAGCCTGGGATGCTGGCCATAAAGCTGTGCGGAGGGTCGGGAGGCAAGACCCTAAATGTCCCTAACCCCCGGCCCCTGGCCTCTCAGGGGAGGATTCAGGAAGGCAGCCTAGTGGGAGTTTGGGGGTAGGAATGGGGGCCACCAGCTTCTTCCCTCTCAGAATTTAGGGACAGAGAGCAGGTGGCTTGATTATCCCAAGGGAAAGTGGCAAAGGGAGCTGCCCCACAGATCTGCCAGGAGAGCGGGTGGGGCTGCCTGGAGGTCAGCCTCAGAGCAGTCTGACCCGACTGACTCCAGCCTCCAAGGCTTTTGATCGGTGGCTCAGCCTTTGTTCTGGGCTCTGTTCAAACACTCTGGGGCAGTTCAGGCCTGGGTGGGGCTAAGGGGCGGAAGAGGGTTTGAGGGGGCACCGACGTCAAAGAAGGATCAGGGATTCCACAATTTCACAAAACTTTCCCAAACAGCTTTTTGTCTCAACCCCCCTTCGTTGTCCTGGACACTAAATTTGCATAAATCCTGGGAAGTTATTACTAAGCCTTAGTCGCAGGTAATTTCCTCCCGGGCCTCCATGGGCTTCTGTATAAAGGCCCTCCGGAGCTGGTCCCTGACAGAGCCCGAGCCTGCAGACCCAGCCAGACGCTGCTGAGCCCGCTGCCCAGAGCCCCATGAAGCTGATAGGTGAGTGTCCTGCCCAGGATGCGGGGGCTGCCTGCCTGGGCAGGGGAGGGGGGATGGACTGGTCCAGGGTCTGGTGGTCCCTAAGCCCCAGAAAGGGGCCCTGGTGGGAGTGGAGAGAACGGCTCCTGAGCCCCATGCGCCCGCTCTCAGCCCTGCAGCTGCTCCTCTGGCACAGCGCACTTTGGACAGTGCGAGAAGCCACTCCCCTGGGCCCTGCCCGCAACCTGCCCGAGACCTTCCTGCTCAAGTGCTTAGAGCAAGTGCGGAAGATCCAGGCTGATGTCGTGGCCATGCAGGAAAGGCTGGTGAGTGAGGGGCTGGCGGCCAGGCAGGGAGGGCACACAGGCTGCCCGGCGGATGTAGGGGAAAGAGGACTGAGGAGAGAGCTGAGGGAGGGGAAGGGAGGCATGGGGAGGCATCAGGAGGGCCTGGGAGCGGAGAGGCACGGGGACAGGGAAGGAAGGTAGGAGAAGGGGAACCCTGAAAGGCAGGAAGAAACTGGGGGAGAGAACCTTCTGGGGACTGTGCTAGGATGGAAGTGGAGGGCAGAATGGGGCTGAGGAGCCTGGCAGGACATGGAGGGAGGGGAAGACCTCAGAGAGATGGGGGGGACAGCTTGGCTCTATGAAGTGCCCTGCACTCAGCATCCTTCTCGTCCCCAGTGTGCCACCCACAAGCTGTGCCACCCCGAGGAGCTGGTGCTGCTCAGGCACTCTCTGGGCATCCCCCAGGTTCCCCTGGGCAGTTGCTCCAGCCAAGCCCTGCAGCTGGTGAGTGTCTGAAAGGGAGGAGGGCGGGGAGGGGAAGGATGATCTGGAAGGCGCCCCACCTCCAGGCTCCAGGCTGGGGCCCTGAGGGGAGCATCCCAGCGGCACCCCCTAACTCTCCGGCTCCGTCTCCCCAGACAAGCTGCCTGGGACAGCTCCACGGTGGCCTCTTCCTCTACCAGGGCCTCCTGCAGGCCCTGGCAGGAATCTCCCCCGAGTTAGGCCCCACCTTGGACATGCTGCAGCTGGACATCACCGACTTTGCCACCAACATCTGGCAGCAGGTGAGCCTCGGTTGGGAGGGGCAAGTGTTAGGGACCTAGACCGAGCTGGTCCCTAAGGGTTGTGCTGGCAACCTGGGGGGTGGCGGGCTGTATGTAGGGAGCTACCGCCCCATCCCAGGACCCTCCTGCTGCTGGCCTTCCCACGCTCCCCTAGCTGAGGGCAGGAGTGGGATCACTGGAGCTCCAGACACCTGGGTTCAGCCCCTGGCTCCACCTCAGCCATGTGCTCGTCCACCGCCCATCAGGCCTTTGCATTTGTCATCGGTGACAACCATGCCCACCCGGCAGGGCCTGCTGGCTGATCTTGTCCTTTCCCCCACAGATGGAAGACCTGGGGATGGCCCCTGGCGTGCAGGCCACCCAGGGCACCGTGCCCACCTTCACCTCGGCCTTCCAGCGCAGGGCAGGGGGCGTCCTGGTGGCCTCCAGCCTGCAGAGCTTCCTGCAGCTGGCCCTCCGCGTCCTGCGTCACCTCGCCGAGCCCTGAGCAAAACCCTACCCACCCGATGTATTTATCTCTATTTAATATTTATTTAAACCTAATATTTAAAGACAGGGAAGAGCAGAAAGGAGTCTCCGATTCCTGGGCCCTTCCCTCCACCTCCAAGTGTCATTCTGTCTGTGGCAGAGAGAAAGCTCCTGTCTTCCTGTCCCCTGGACTGGGAGGTCGATAGGTAAATACCAAGTATTAACTCCGATGACTGTGGTGGGCACTGAACCCCCGACCCCGAGGGCACCCGACTTGGGGCCCTTGGAAGCATCAGAAGCTCTCCCACGTGGGAGACAAGACAGCCCTGTTTAATATTTAAACAGCAGTGTTCGCCGCTGGGCCCTCGCATCCCTCCCTCGCTCTGGCGTCAGCGTGGCGTGCGAATGCCAGGCCTCGCTTCCCCTCACGTCTCCTCCCCACGGGCATGAAGCCCAGCAGAGGCAGCCTGAGCTGGGAGGCTTGACCCTGGGGTCCCACAAATTTGATGGGTAATCTAATTTTTCTTAAGATTTTGGGGGGCATGTCTTGACGCCCGTGGGGTGTCTCTCGTTTCTTCTGGATGCCCTCTAGAGACACCCATAGGCTTGGGACCCCACCCCCACCAGGGCCAGTACTCTGCCTCCTCCTAGGGCTGTGCAGATGGTCGTGCACCTGCCTTGCTGGGTGGGGCTGGCAATGTGGGCGGGAAAAGAGGAGGGGGATTATGTGATGGGTGAGAGGGAAGCTCAATGTTCACTCTCAACCTCTACTCTCTTATTGTAGCCAAACTTCGTGTTAATAAAGTGTTTGTCTTTAGCAAATGTCCTTCCTCCTTCTTGAGTCCAGCTGGTGCCTGGCCAGGGGCTGGGGGGCAGGGAGTTGAATGGCGGTCTAGGGCAGAGGGGGAGAAGAGGTGCGGGGAGGAGGGGCAGTCCTCTGGCTCATCAGGGTTCATTCCTTTAGCACGTATGCATCTTGCACCTACTCTGTGCAGGCACGAGGCTCGTGCTTGGGACACAGCAGTGCGCCAGGCAGGCATGGTCCTGCCCTCATGGAGCACAGCCTGGTGGGGAGACAGAGGCAGATGGGACACTGCTACCAGGAGAGGAGAGTGTGGAGTTCAGGGGGAACCTTAACAGTCCAGATGCATTTAATATTGGCAGAGCCGGGCAGTTTAGCATCTTCCATGAACTCCAGCCCATCTGCACGCACAGGTGCCTACAAACATAGAATTAAGAAGTGCCTTGCCCCAGCCGGTGTGGCTCAGTGTATAGACTGTCGGCCTGCGGACTGAAGGGTCCCAGGTTTGATTCCGGTCAAGGGCACATGCCTGGGTTGCAGGCTCCATTCCCAGTGGGGGGCGTGCAGGAGGCAGCTGATCAATGATTCTCTCTCATCATTGATATTTCTCTCTCTCCCTCTTCCTTCCTCTCTGAAATCAATAAAAATATATTTTAAAAAATATGTTCATCTTGCCTGCCATATGCGTAACACAACTATTAAACCACTTTTTAAAAAAGTTTTTAAAAAATCAATGAAAAAATATCCTTGAGTGAGGATTTAAAAAAAAGAAGTACCTTGGCCTAGCCAGTGTGGCTCAGCGGTTGGGCACCGACCTATGAACCAGGAGGTCTAGGTTTGATTCCTGGCCAGGGCACATGCCCGCGTTGCAGGCTCGATCCCCAGAAGGGGCATGTAGGAGGCAACCGATCAATGATTCTCTCTCATCATTGATGTATCCATGGCTCTCTCTCCTTCTCCCTTCCTTTCTGAAACCAATAAAAATGTCTATTTTTTAAAAGAAAAGTGCCTTGTACAGATCAGGAGGCTGAGTGAGGGTGACTACTTGGGTCGGAACGCAAAGCCAGGCTCTGTACTCTCTCCCTCTTGCAGCTGCCTCTGATGGGCAGGGAGCGGTCTCCCAGGCTGCTCTCCTGCTGGTCTCAGCGCCTGGGCTGAGAGGCGGAGCTGCAGCTAGGGAGGGGCCGCTTCCCACAGGGGCACAGCTCTGTGCCCTCAGCTCAGGTGCTCATGTGGCCCCAGGTGCCTCACCAGACCCAGGAAAGTCCAGTCGGCCAACCAGTCCCCAGTTCCCCTCCCAAGGCTTCCCTGTCCTCATCAGCTCTCACTCCCTTCTGCATGTGGCTCCTTGGAGAGCAGGGTCTGGCTGAGCCAGCTGGACCTCCCAGCTGTGTGGCTCAGGGTCCTCCCTCTTGGTCAGTCCTGAAGGAACTGGGCTTGGAGTCGTGTGAAACAGAGCTCCTGCCTCTCACTGCCCCATAGCCTCCCCCCCCACCCCCCCCCGCTCTTCTGGGGGACAGATCAGACTCTGGGCTAGTCAGACTCTGGGTGGGCTGGTCTGGGTTGGGCATCAGAACAGGACACTCTACCCCAACGCCAGTGGGGCCTCTAGCCAAAGCCTCACCCTTTTCAGAGAAAGTCTGACTTCTGGGGGTGGGTGTAGGCGGTGGTGGGCCAGTGTTGACTCGTTATCATCCCAGGGGGGGTCTGAGGAAGGAAAGCTGCCCTCCCTGCCTGAATGAGTGGACAAACACGGGCTCCGAGGCCAGCCCTCCTCTGCTCACCCCACCCTCCACCCCCAGGATGAGTCTCTCCCGGCCACGGTCAGACAGACACTGACAGCACTTACAAAGGGATCCACAGGATCTTTATTTACAAGTGAGCTGACGTGAACGTCCCTCATGTGTTGCAAACATGTTTAAATACACAGATACATACATATGCACACTCCGCACCTAAGTGCCTCTTGGGAGGAGGCAGGGAGCACAGGAGCGGGTGCGGTGCGGGGAGACCATCCTGAGCTAAGGAGCCAGGCTGCTCACACTCATCAGGTGCTGGCAGCAGGGAGAGGAAATGATGGAAGAGATGGGGGGCATCTTAGCAGCCAGAAGTCAGGGACGGGGAGGGATCTGGAAGCTGGCAAAGGGCTTACATCATGTGGATGTGAGCAATGATTCCTCATCTTTCCGCACTGTTCCCTTTCGAGGCGCCTGGGGCTAGACCCTCCCTGCGGGGCCTTGTGGCCATTCGAAGCCCCTCAGAGGGCAGCAATGGCCTTGGCAGCCACCTGGCGGCCCAGGGGCAGGCTGAGGTCCGTGATGGCCAGAACCACCTTGGGGCTGGACATGGCTGACACCTTCACCAGTTCCGATACCTGCCACAGACAGACAGACAGACAGCTGCTCGCTGGGGCTCCCTCGAGGTGGGTGCGGCGTCTCAGGAGAAAAGAAGGCCCCCTCCCGACCCTGAGGGCTCGCCCACCGCTGAACCCCAACCTCTGCTGAGCCTTGCTGCCCCCGTGTGATCGGGAAGCACTCACGGTGGTAAAGGGCATGAACTGCAGGATGCTGCCCCGGCTGCCCTGCTCCAGGCAGTCCACACACTCCTCCATGAACCACTGCACGAACTGCGTGTGGGGGCCCGCCGTCCGCGAGCCCAGGATGGAGGAAATGAGCAGGAACAGGTTGGCTGTGTGAGGGCGGGGGAGTGAGAAGAATCCCATGAGAAGGGCCTGGGAAGAGGTTAGACTCTGGGAGAAGGTGGGACCGAAAAGGGAAAGGGGAGCAGTGCTAAGACTGTCCCCCAAGATGGGGACGCCATGAAGAGGAGATGTAAAAGGAAAATGGGGGTGAGTCAGAAGAGGCACAACCTGGGAGCCCGGGGGAGACGGGAGACCTAGCAAGTAGGGGAGGAGGAGGGCGGAGGCAGGGAGATGTGACAGAGCAGGTAGGGGTACCCAGAGGCCCTCTTCCAGCTGTCAGGCCTGAACCCCCATTTCAGGAGTGGGGGTGGGAGGACTCACCCAGGACTCGGTTCAGTGGGTCTCTCATGTTAACTGTGTGGAGCTGGGAGGCTGACAAGGAGCTGCTCATGGACCGGTCGGCTGTGGGGCCAATGGAGAGCGCTCAGGACAGGCCCCTCCCCCGGGGAAGCCCTCACCCATCGGGCGTGGAGGGCCCTGCCCAGGAGTCCTTGGGTCCAGAGTCACCAAGGAGCCCCAAAAACAGAGATCCCCAGAGGAGAGGGGACAGAACTAACATTGGCCACCAGGCGCCAGGCGCCTCTGCGGGCTGTACACGGACTCAGCCACTTAGGCCTCATCTCCATTTTCCAGACGAAGAAACCGAGATCAGAGATGCTAAGTAACTAGTCAAAGGTCAGGGGGGTTGTAGGTGGCAGACCGAGCATCTACCTTCTGCTCAAGTGCAGTGGTTCCCTGGTCCCTAGAAAGCCTCAGAGAAATCTCTAGAAACAGCAAAATGTAAGCCCTGGGTAGGGACAGCGAGGGAAGTCGGTGGGGGAGGGCTGCTCTTCGGCAGGAAGAGTGGGGAGCAGCCCCAAGCCCCAGCCCAGGCCTGCTCCAGCCTCGGCCTGTTTCAGGGGAAGGAAGGTCAGAGCCGGTGAGTCAACGGCACAGACTGTGCCCCAGACAGTGGACTCATTGGTAGCTTGTGGGAAGTAAGGGGTGGGGAAGAGACAACCATGTGCCCCTGGGCCTGGGCCGGGCAGAAGAGCTTCCACAGCAACCGGTCTCTCTGGGGGTGGAAACAGCAGCCGTAGGAGACACAACGGGACAAACTCCTGCACGCCCTCTCTGACCGCCAGCAAGAAGCCTGCGCCGGGGCCTCGCGCAGCCCGCCCAGGGGACCGAGGGCCCAGGAAAGGAGCCGCTGCCCAGCCCCGTCCACACTCACCGGGACTGGAAAGGATGTTGGCATCCTCCTCATTGGAGCTCAGGAGGCGCATCAGCTTCGAGGGCTGCATGTCATCCAAGGGGAAGAGGCTGATGTAGTCCTGGGGGTGGGAACGCACTGTTACGGGAAGAGCCGAGTCCCCACGGGCCCCGGTCAGCACCTCCAGAGGGGCTCCCCTCCCTCTGCACCCCAGCCGTCTCCTCACCCCTCCAATCCCAGTGAGACCTGCTCAGTCACCACTGTGGACGTGTGGCCGCCAGGCTTCCCGGAGTCAGGGAGCATGCCTGGCTGCCTCGGCCTGGGAGGGCGCCTCTTACCAGAAGAGGCTCAGGAAATGTCTGCTCAACAAACCCGTGAATAAGTGGATGGAGGGATCCCTTACCTCGATGTCTTCACGGTGTCTCTTCTTCTGGTGGGAAGATGCCTGTCCCTTGTGGGAGGAATAGGAACTCAGGGCACACCAGACGGCTAGCCTGGCAAAGGGTTCCAGGAAAAGAAGTGAAATTAGAGGGACCGCAAGGGGGGCTCTGTGCCCATGGTGATCAGACCCCATCTGACAGGGCCGCCCCACAGGCCCACTTCCTGGGTGACCCCAGGTAAGGCTGCCTGACTCAGGGCTACGGGAACTTGAAGCTCTGCAGACTCCTACTTGGCGAGTGCGGTGCCAGGGGGGTCCATGAGGCTGTGCCACTTGGAGGAGTCGGTGAGCAGGCCAGGCAGGATGTGGCCCAGCAGGACCAGGGTCACCTGCTGCATGTCCAGGTAGAAGATGGAGTAGAGCAGCTCCACCGCCCGCAGTGTGTGCTCCTTCCGCGTCTCCTTTAACAGCTCCTACGTGGGCAGGTGAGGGGGCTTTTAGGAGCTGAGGGCTCTGAACGTGGGGCTCTGACATCCCTGCCACTCCAGCCCGGCTCTCTGGGAGGGCACGCAGGGAGCCCCAGCTGCTGCTCCATCCCTCCCTCTGCCCTGCAGCTCCCCAGATGGGGACCAGCCTCTATTCTAAGGAAGCTTCTCGCAGCACGGAAGGCACCTCTCCGAGAGGCCCGGCTGACCAGGCTAGGTGTTGGGAAGTCAGAGGATGGGACCAAGTTGGGTGCTGTCGGGCATGTTCTCAGATGTCTCCTGGAGTCTGAGGACACCTGCTCCCCAGCTGGCCCATGTGTCTGGCCCACCCCCCACCCACCCCAAGTACCTTAATCAGGTTGTTGCAGAACCAGTAGACGCCTCCCATGTGCAGCAAGGTGTCAAAGATGTGGATGGAGCGACTGTCCACCCACCCCTTCTCCAGCACCTTGGCAAATATGTCTGTCAGCACCTCCTTGATGGGTCGCTTAGGGGGCAGCAGGTTCCAGTAGGGCATCGTGTCCATGCCCGTGGACGGGAACTTGATCTGCGTGGCCGTCTGCTGCAGCACGTCAGCACACATGTGCTCCAGGATCGAGCTCATGATCACCACCCTGGAGGAGGGGGAGAGAACTTGAGGCTCGGGCAACACAAGTTCAAGAGCTGGGGTGGGGAGGGCAGGGGAGGAAACTCCCAGGTCAGACCTTTCCAAGGAGTTGGGTTACGGAAACATTCCTGGGTAATTAGCCCCATTCTATGCTAAGGGAGGAGACAAGAGGAAGTTGGAAACCCCTAGCAGACCTGACCTGGCAGGACTCTCGCTGCTGGGCACAAAGCCTATGGGGGGCGGAGGCGGGTATGCTTTCCTTTCCCAGGTTATCTAGCAATGCATTTGTATTTTCTCTCTCTAACTCCCCCACCCCCAAGCCTGGCCTGCCAATTCCTCTGGCATAAGTAAGAACAATCACTTCCCTCTGGGCTGAGTGCTTAAGGGGGGTCCTGACCCAGGGCCTCCTACCAATGTAAACTTCCAGGACAGGGGCCCACGGGCTGCCCCACGGGACTCTTCTTCCCGCCCTTGGTAGCTGGGCACATTGAGTGTATATCCAGGAATTTTCTCGGGAAGAGTCTTCGACTCTGAATACAGACTGGGCCTGAGCGCTAACTGTTCCTGGAACGCGGTGGCTCTGGGAAAGTCCCTGTGACTCTCAGAGCCACTGCTTTGACCTGCATGATGAAGCCACAGATTTCCCACTATTCCTCACCCAGACAGAGTCAGGGCTTAGAGCGGATTACATGAGAGCAAACATTCCATTCCTTGTGGAGGGAGGATGATGAGGGAAGAAAAGCAAGAGGCAAGGGGAAAAACAGGTGCGATTTCACAGGCCCTCCCCAACCTCCTTTCAGCTCAGTGTCCCACTTCTCCGTTGGAAGGCATCCTGAGGGCCACCTTGTGCATCACCACTCACAACCTACCGACCGGTTCATGCTCATGTGACAGCAGCACTACTCGCTACAGCCAAGAGGTGATGAACACCCAAGTGCCCATCGACTAATAAATGGATAGGCAAACAGGGTATGTATATACAAATAATGGAATATTATTCAGCCTTAAAAAGGAGGACATTCTGACATGTTCTACAATGTGGATGAACCTTGGGGACATTGTGCTAAGTGAAATATGCCAGTCGCTAAATGACAAATACTGTGCGATTCCACTTACGTGAGTTATCTAAAGCAAATTCATAGGATCAGAAAGCGGAATGGTGGTTACGAAAAGCTGGGGTGGGGACAGGACAGTGTGAGTTGTTGCTTAATGAGCACGAGTTTCAGATTTACAAGATGAAAATGCTGGAGATCTGATTCACAACAATGTGAATATACAGCTCTGGCTGGTTTCACTCAGTGATTAGAGCAGGGGTCCTCAAACTTTTTAAACAGGGGGCCAGTTCACTGTCCCTCAGACCGTTGGAGGGCCGGACTATAGTTTAAAAAAAAGCTATGGCCGAAACCAGTTTGGCTCGGTGGATAGAGCGTCGGCCTGCGGACTGAAAGGTCCCAGGTTCGATTCCAGTCAAGGGCATGTACCTGAGTTGCGGGCACATCCCCAGTGGGAGATGTGCAGGAGGCAGCTGATCGATGTTTCTCGCTCATCGATGTTTCTAACTCTCTATCTCTCTCCCTTCCTCTCTGTAAAAATCAATAAAATATATTTTTAAAAAAACTATGAACAAATTCCTATGCACACTGCACATAACTTATTTTGAAGTAAAAAAACAAAACGGGAACAAATACAATATTTGTATTTGCATGTGGCCCGCGGGCCGTAGTTTGAGGACCCCTGGATTAGAGTGTCAGCCCTCAGACCAAAGGGTCTTGGGTTCGATTCCCGGTCAAGGGCAAGTACCTGGGTTGCAGGTTGGATCCCCAGCCCCGGTTGAGGTGCATACGGGAGGCAACCAATCAATGTGTCTCTTTCATATCAATGTTCCCCCCTTCTCCCTCCACTCCACTTCCTCCCTCCCACTCTCTCTAAAATTCAATGGAAAAAATATTCTCGGATGAGGATTAACAAACAAACAAAAATAATCTCTCTTCCCACTGTTATATAATAAATGAATAACATATATATGAAAAAAATATATACATCTTAACACTATTGAACTCTAACTTAAAAATGGCTACAATGGGCCCTTGCCGGGTAGATCAGTTGGTTAGAGCATCGTCCTGATACGCCAATGTTGCGGGATCAATCCCTGGTCAGGGCACATATAAAGAAGCAACCAGCCCTGACCAGTTTGGCTCAGTGGATTGAGCGTCGGCCTGCGGACTCAAGGGTCCCAGGTTCGATTCCGGTCAAGGGCATGTACCTTGGTTGCGGGCACATCCCCAGTGGGGAGTGTGTAGGAGGCAGCTGATCGATGTTTCTCTCTCATTGATGTTTCTGACTCTCTATCCCTCTCCCTTACTCTCTGTAAAAAATCAATTATATTAAAAAAAAAAAAACAACCAGTGAATGCATAAATAAGTAGAACAACAAATTGATGCTTCTCTTTCTCTCCCTTTCTCTCTCCAAAATCAATCAACCAAAAATGTTTAAGATGGTAGATTTCATATTATATATATATATTTTTTACCACAATAAAAAAAAAAAGCTTATTGGACAGGTGAGTGAACCAACACCACTGAACTCAACATGGCTGAAGTCACCAGGGAGATTCTGGAAGCCCATGAGAAGCCAAGGCAGAAAAATGTCACAGAAGACAGCCAGGTGGGGGGTGAGGGGAGTGGGCAGGGCCGAGGCCTGTGAAATCTACAGATGGGCTCATAGTTTCTGGACAGTGACGCAGATAAGACAATCGCGTTGTTCTGTGGCAAGCTAGCTCTCCAGAACTCGACCTCCTTGAGGGCAGGAATCATAGGTGTTTGGGGTCTGTATTTCTGGGCACAGCAGGTGCCAGATAAGACATGAAACTGCTGCTGAGTCAGTGAGTGAATACGTGAACAGGAATGTGAGCGAGCGAGGAAGTGAGTGAGCAAGTGAGCAGCGTGTTTGGGAAGGTAAGAGGGTCAGATATCGGTTCCTGGAGGTGCCGTTTTGCACCGCAGACCTGTAGCATTCCAGAGGGAGGGGCGGGTTACTGACCTCTCATTGTAGAACTGCAGGG